AAAGCTCTTTTCTTGAAGATTTGTTCTAAGGCAAAATGCAGCCCAGACTGTGAAACACATCTAGGATGGCCAGGTTTAACAAGTACCCATGATATATCAGGATTTGGTTTTGGTATATGCACTGCAAGTTCCCTAGTGTATAATAATGTCATTTTAGCAGTATGGTTTTACCATTTTATGTGAAAATTAGCAAACAAAAACTGAAGGCACATCCAAACTAAGTGAGAAAATGTTCCTTTAGCGAAAAACAGACTCAGTTTTCAAGCTTTCTGGGCTGCTGGATCCCAATATGAGAAGAATACCTACAAACACACTGAAAATAAGGGAGCAGCAGTGTGGAAATTGGAATATTCTAATGGGAAAATTATAAGAAATACAGCTGTGCTTGCTTTCACTGCTGCTCCTCAGCCTTCAAATTCCTCTAAATTAAATTGTAAAATAATGATCTCCTTTTCTGGTTTCTACTAAGCTACATAGTTAATCCCTGATACAGAAATATATATAGAACATATACATTTAGGAAAACAATTATTATTAAAATAAAGAGGCCTCAGACCAAAGAGTTTCCACAATTTCCCATGCACATTTGAACCCAGCTCTAAACTCTCTCTCTCTGGGTTTGTCTCTGTCTAATCCTTTTGTTTTTAACCTGATTTTCAGGAGGAAAATCAGCCTCTGATTTTAACAGGAAAATTCAGCTGTTGTAGCAAAGACACACACTGAAATAATCTGAAACAGTCTGTCTGCCTTAGCTTTTTTAAGCTTATGATTATTTTTTCCTGATGATTTCAAATGGCAGCACAGTAAGAACAGCAGACAGGCTTGGAAGAGGAGCATCTCTGTTACCAACAGCCCTCTATGCCAGACTGTTGAAAATAACAGAGCTTCTAAATCATAGAAGAAATTTTAATAACTTTAATTAAAGTTATTCAGTTATCCAGGATTTCTGTGACTTTAATAAGGTCATTGATGTCAGAAGAATGCATGTATTTTAAATTTCTCATTTTTCACAGCCAAAGTGAACATGTCATTTAAACACGCTGTCAGCCTATATGGCATTGTAATCCTTTTTGAATAGGAGGTGTTTATTTATGAAGAAGTAATTGCAACTACAGGCAAGCCTCACATGGCTCTGCACCACTTGAATGGCAGTGTTGTTGCTTTTGTTTACCAGGGGCCAGTTCTGATCTGACTGCAAATAGCAGGTCCTGCCATTGAGTGGCTCCATCCTCCAGTGCCTCTGAGGCATGGAAATGGTGAGAAATACACACCCTTAGGTGGACAAAGGGACACCTCTTTCTTATAAGAAATAGTAAGCTCTATGTGTTATATAACTACCTCTTTTTTCTTTTTTTCCCAAATGGCTTTTATAATTATTATTTTTTAACATGTCCTCTTTCTCTCCTGCATTCCCTGTCACCAGGTCAAAAAGAAAATTAAGGGAAAAAAAAAAAAAGACTGACAACAAAGAATTATTCTGGGACTTTTGAGAGAAGCTAGGATATTTATGGATTTATTATATTCCTTGGGACAACAAGTTTCTGAGATGTTAGTACACTGTCAAATATTTTTCAAGGTTAACAGTTTAGGGACACAATTATGTTGCAAGTTGTCGGGAAGATTAATTAAGGGTATTTCAGAGATACAGGAGAAAAATTGTTCCAGCAGCTATTACAGTGTGAGTAATCCCGACTGAAAGAGTAGTTCCCCTTCATTTCTGTCCCCTTCAGAGAAAATGTTCCTGTGTTTAAAACATACTCAGGAGCAGATAAAATGCTCAGGGCACAGCAGTGGTGAGGCAATCCTAGGTGCAGTCCATGCAGCAGCTGCCTACTGGCAGACAGTGCACGGGCATCCCCTCCAGAAAGGTGATTATTAAATAAATATTTCTCAGGGCCAGAAAACAGCAACAGGTCAGAAAGCAGAGACAGTAAAAGCAAATGTGAGCGCTAGGCTCACCAGAGCTCCCCCTTGCACCCACAAGCACCAGGAGAGCACAACAGTGAAATCGTTGGGCTAGTTAATGACAAGTCAGGGATTGTGTGTGAAAGTAATAGCAAGACCTAGAGATTCACGAATATGAAAGGTTTTAAATAAAAAATAAAAATCCAACAATCCAGCACTTTAATCACAGCACTGCAACCAATATGCATATCTATCTATCTATCTATCTATCTATAATCTGATATAATTTTTAATCCTTTTTTTAAATCCCTGTCATTAATGAGGGATAATGTTGGATTGAAGAGGGCCAAAGAGATTTATTGATACAAACTCAGAGACATGGCTGTAAATCAGGACAGTGAAGAAGTATGCCACTGCTGGCTTATGTTCTCTTCCTGCAAAAGGACAGGGATGAATGAACAAGTGTCTGAATGAATGACTGAATAGATGAATGAATGAAAGAATGAATACATAATCAAATAAATACATTAAAATACATTGCCAACTTGCTGGGATCACATAGTAAAGGAGCCCTTCAGGGCCTTTGTAAAAATATAGGCAACAGTGTAATCCTTTTTATTATAAATTAAAATCTGCTTTCCTCTATTCCTCTGAATGTTTAATTTTTATTGAAGGTCAAAAGGTGCTTTACATGTGGGGAAGTTGCAGGATTTGCATCTCCAACCCTGTATCCCTGTATAAATCCACATTCTGACCAGAGCACTGTGCTCTTGCTGTGCAGCTGGGGCTGGCTGCCAAAGCTGGCTGGAAGGACAAATTTGGGGAAATCATTCCCTTCCCTGAAATGCCAAAGACCCTTTCCTCTTCTCAAGCCACAACCACAGCCTTGCATTGGTAATATCTCTGGGAAATTTAACATTAGAGCTGCAATCAATATTTCAAGGCTGGTGTCTTTTTCTGAGCAAGGAACAAGGACAGTTGGTAGCAACCTTCCAGGTATGTGGTGGTAGTTGTAGGCTTTTCTTCTACAGGTGCTAGGTATACAGAGCACATGGCAAATGCATCTGTGAGCTCCAGACTACAGAAACCACTTCTCTGACTTCATGGGAAAGCTTTTATTCCTTTTGAATGGTGATCCAGTTTGTTGTTGTTGTTGTTGTTTTGAAAAGCATCTGTTTTGAACTTTGTCATCTAATGAGCTGAAAGTCACTGGAATTTCCTTCTGCTTCCCTCTGCTTGGGAAAAGACTTCTGTACTGAGACCTTCGAGGATAAAGCTCTTCTAGCGTGAGACAAAGGTCCTCCAGATGAGAATTACAGAGCTATGGCTTGCAATTTAATTATCTTTCATGCATTCACACCCAGATGGATAGATTTTTGGAAAGAAAAAATATTAATCAATGTGAATAAACTACTTTATTTTTTAAATAACTAAACCAGCAGTTTCATTTCCCACTGTTAATATTCCTGTCAGTCAGGTCAAGGATAATGAACCAAAATTCAAGGAAGGCTCACCCAAACCTTGACTTTTCTTATTAAAAATGTTCCCATTCATAAAACCTACATTTGCAAATGCAAAATCAACAGTTAAATGTTTGCCTTATCTATGTCTGTATCTCTCCAAGGAGAGAGAGATGATCTTTATCCAGTTTTCACTTATAATATTCTGCTGAAGTTTTGGAAGGAAAATAATGTCTTCTAAACTTTGTTACTTGTATTATTATTACTACCTGTGGCTAAATATACTATTTGCTGTTAATATAACCAGTGTTTTCATTCTGTAGTAAGAACTCTTTTCCATATATCTCTACATTCATGCTTTGATTAGTTTCTTTTCCCCAATTTTTGCAAGACATTTTTTTTTTCTTTCTAATGAAAAAAAAAAAAAAAGTAAAATAAAGCCATAAATGTACCCTATATGGGAACATGGCCTCTGGAATAAAAGAAAATGAAGAAAGTGCATATTATGGAAAGTACTGGAGTTATATGACCAGAAAAGGGCAATGTACTTTAGGTTACATATTTTAAGAAACTGCTTCCAGCAGACAAAATAACTGCTAAAAGCAGGTGTTTATTCCAAAAGCTGCAGCAATGTTTTTCTGTCATGTTGCATTAAATCACTCAGACTGCATCATGTTATGTTACACCACATCATGTTAGTACATACAGGGGAAAAGCCAAAGTGGAGTAACATGATGTGACAGACAGCATTTAGCAAAAATATTCACTTATTTGACTCAGATACTTGCTATCAGTTTGAATCAGGGAGCATGGTCCCAAATGAAGCTGACAGATGGAGGTGAACTCACCAAGGAACTCATCTGGTGTAAAGTTTCTTGTCGTCTACCTGGTGCTCGTCCTGCTGATGGGTCCTGCTATCCTCAGCTCCTCTTTCACAGCATTTCCTTCCCTGCTCTAAGTAGTTTGACTGGCTGGTTGCTGTTTATTTTGACATAACTCATGACTTCCCCATGAGGGACTAATCATGTCCTGGTATACTTAACAAGCCCTGTTAAATGACAGTTGATGGAATTGCCATAAATAGTAGTTTTTATATGAGTGAAATTTTGAACTACACAAAAAAGAGTGCCTGGGCACTGCGTATTTATGTATACTGAGGGACTATTTCAGGTAACAAGAAGCTTATTCCTGAAGGCACCTGTATTTTATAGTGTGGCAAAGTCTTTTTGACAGACTTAAAAATATTGAGACTCCTTTATTACTCTTGGAGGAACTATTTCATGGCAGTACTTCTAAAAAAGATTTAACAAAGAAGTGCATGTTCATGTAAGTAAATCAAATAATCGAGTATAACCCAGGCAGCTCTGGTGCAGGCCATGCCATACAAGGATTTTTATAAGCGTTGATCCTGACCTAGATGACGACTTCCAACCCACAGGGCACCTCTTGGACTGCTACAGAACCATGACGTGTTCTGGTACAATCTGTCCTAGCAGGAATTAGGATGAGAGAACCTCGTGCCAAGTATCAAAGAGGGCTTCAGCAGTGCTAGTGAAGGTAGCTCTATGGCATAATGCCAGACAGTTGAAGTGTGAAAAAATTTGCATGTGAACTTGAAGACTTTCCTTTTCCTAGAGGTGGAGCCAAGGAGATAAGCCAAGCTGCCAAGTGTTTTCTGCATCTCACCAATATGGACCTGCAGTGGTAAGTGCACAGATACAATTCAAAAGAAAAGAACAAGATACCAATGCTTTGCAGTATTCCAGAAAGAAAGGTATATTTGTCAAAATCTAAGCTTGTATCATAGCAGTAATGCACAGGATCCATGGTTTTGTGTTTTCCCCACCCTTTGCAGACAGAATTAATACCTCTAGCAATAGTGCTGGTGATTAGATGGTGCACCAAAGAAATATGTGTGCCCATCCATAGCTGAAGAGTGCTTACCCCCTGCATGTTCACACAGCTATCAGCAGAGCCCAATAGAAGCTAAGAAAAAAAATGCAAAAGAAAAAGTAAAATGGAACAGTGACTGACAGTATGTTTATTCTGGTCTGTGCCATCTTAGCTAATACTGTTAGGATGTGTTGTATTTGAGGGATTTGTTTGGTGTAACTCACAGGAAATCTGGGAAGCAGAGCTGTTTTGCACAAGCCCCCAAACCATTCGGTGCCTGCCCTGTGAACGCTGGCTGCATGAGCAGCCGGTCCTGCTGTACTGTTTGCTGACGTTGTTCCCTCTCCTCAGGAAACCTCGGGAGCCGTTCTGCCTTGGGCAGTCTCCTGAAGATGTGTGATGGTCTTGGACTGTGCATCAGTGACCAGCAGTTCGTGTTGCCTCAGACCCATGCTGCACAGGGGCTGGTGCCTGCACCGGGAGCAGCACAGAGACACCGGGGGGAAAATGTCACACCCCTGGGCTCCCCAAAATGCAAGGAACAGGAGGCTTCTCCCAGCAGCACAGGAGAACTGAGATGAATGAAACCTCATTCAAAGGGTAGGTAACTGTTCTGGGTAAAACAAAATAAAAGCTTGTACTGGGACATGAGATCTCAGGAGGTTACCTGAGCCTGGGTGTCCTCCATCCAGAACACAACCCTACAGAGCGTGCATTTGGGCTGTGCTCTACAGTGTTTGCACGTTCCTTGTGTGCTCACCCTGGGTTTGATCCTTCACCAGTCATTTACTGATGTGCCATAACGTGGTGAAGCCACACCACCTATCCAGTGGCTTTTAAGAAAAGGTTTCTGCCTATCTGCATCTGTAGAAGCACCATATCTTGTGCTTGCTTTGAGAGCATGGTCCTGTGTGCAACAGTGTTTTGTGAAAAAGCATACACACATGGAGCAAGTGTGCTGTTCTCTTCTTACCTGATGAAAAAAAATAAGAAAAGATTAAATAATTAATACTAGATATTGCTTAACAGTTGTTAAGAGGCTTACTTAATAATTTTTGAAGCTTTTTTTTTTTTTCTAAATTAGGAATAACACATAATTGAGCATGTCATTCTGAAGCAGCAAATAACACTTTGGAGAGAATTGAAGGAAACACATTTCTTTGATTAAAATATTTTTCTCATTAACAGGATGTTCAAAATAAAGCAAAAATATTTGATGCACAGAGCCTGTGGCAGTATCGAGTTAACGCTGGCGTGCTCCCGCATTTTACCTCATGTTTACTAATCAATCAGAAAAGCCTCTTGCCGGCAAGAAAGGTCACATCTTCCATCACAAAACAGAAACTTTTTGACAACAAACAATTGGAATTTCACCATTCTGTTTAATGTGGATTCTAGCACAGAGAGTTATAGCCCCAGGCGGTGGGAAGGGTGGTGTGGGATTTGGTGAACATGTAGAGCTGTGCTCTCCAAATGTTCACTGCTCCATACTGTGTGTATGGAGACTGCCTCACTAGCATCAGGTTATGATGCTGTTCTTCAAGTCCCAGAATCATTTAGGTTCGAAAAGATCTCTAAGGTCAAGTCTGACTATCAACCTAGCCCGCCAAGTGGTCAAATTATTTGGAGGATTTGGAGGAGAGGCCAATCCAGGTGGTGCTTGGGTAGGTACAGGTGTGCATTTCTGACTCAGATGCTAATGGTCTGGGCTGTGACACTGCAGAAAGAGCTGGTCTATGGACTATGAGAGCAACAGACACCCAGAGAGTGTTGGGCAGTGCTTCTCCTTCAAGTACTCTTAGTTTTAGCTCAGGATAGAAACAAATCCTCTGGTCTGGAACATGACCTTCAAGTTTCTGTTCTTTTTTGTCCTTTAAAATTCCTTACTGACCTATATCTTGATAAAGTGCATTTTCTTAGCCATTGGGGAAAAAAAAAAAAAAAAAAGAGCTCTGTTTTCTTAGATAAAAGATACGGCCTGATTGTTTCGCAAGCAAAACAATGCACATATTAAAAGCTCTTGAAAGAGCTGGGGTGGAATCAGAAAGGTGATTATGAAATGTCACTGATTCTGCCATTTTTCCTTCCCCTCCACTTGCTGCCCAGGCATCAGCCACCTCCAAGGAGTCTGCTGGGTGGTGACAATAGCAGGATGCAGTCCCACACCCAGCTGGGATTTACACCCTTGGTCTCCTGGAGAAATCATCGGTATGAAAAGATGCACATGTTGCCGGCAGCTATAGCACATATTGCATGGCATGACACACACATAAGTGAGATTAATATGAGTTCTGGGCATCATTAGCTCAATTAAAACTGTGATTTTTTAGTTCAGACCTACAGGCCATTGCAGAGAAGAGTAATCATAAGGCAGAAATGAGTTCCCTAGTTAAAAATTAATTCCCTAGACTAAAAATATAATCAAACGATGTCTACAGTATTTTATGAAGAGCTGAGAGGATAATAAAATTTAAAGCAGTGCAACATTTGCATTTCGTTCATTTCTATCCATATTTTTCCATAGACTGCCTTTCTCTGTGCTTGTTAATCATATGCACTGCTACAGCCCTGGCATTTTAAGATCACTCTTCACATCAAGATTGAAAGGAAACTAATTACAATCACATTTCAGGGTGGTTGTTTAAAGCTGGTACAGCACTGACTACAGCACAGGAGCCTTGACCTTTATTTGTAAGCATGGAAATAAGGTAAAGATGAAAGATTGCTTTTCCTCCAGCTCATATGCAGGGATCAGGAGGCCCTGTGGGGAAGCAGAGAGGTGGGAAATCCCCATACAATTTCTCTCCTCGCCTCCTCTCCTGTGCTGGCAGCAGAGGCCAGTAGTGCTATGCAGAAGCTGTGCTCCACTGCAGCGAGAGGTGAAGGAAAGCACCACGTATTTTGCAGCTCCCTTGGGCTGCCGAAGGAACAAGCAGTGAATTAGCAGACCTCCTCAAACGCCCCTCTTGTTCGAACCCCAGTCCTACTCGTTTTAATCTATCAGTCAATGACAAATCCTTCCCTGGGCCTGGGCACAGGCACAAGACCATCAGCTCGGTGCTGCATGCCGTGCTCATGCGATTATCAAGGTACCAATGTGCATGGGCTACCTGTGAGCAAGAGATGTAGACGGTACTGCTTATCTTTTCTGCTGCTCACATTATAGCTTAGTAGCAATAATAGGATCTACGAGGATGCGTCGGGGAAGAATAAGGACCCCTAACCTGAGGAAATACAGGTAATTCTAGTGTTTTCTCTAATTTCATTGAAAGCGATTGCATTTAGAGCATGCTGAATGGCAAATGTACCCAATAGGTTTAACCTTTCTGTCTCTTCACACTTTCAAAACTTTTATTTTAATATATTTATATTATACTCAAACTAAACCAAGAGGTAGTTCCAAAAACAGATTCAAGTCTAGGACCTGCCGACGTGGTGCTTGCTCTAAATGCTCTTCTCAGTATCATTATTCAGTGACTGAAGGCTTGCTGTGGTATGCAATGACCCCCAAGTGATCTCTTGGGCCTCGCCAGGTTATCACAGCTCTGCACTGAAATGTGATCATTGAGGATAGACCAGCACTGAGCTGAAGCGATGCCACATGTCAACCCCCTGCTCTGTGGGCACTGATCATACTCACATCATGTATGAGGTGCTGCCCTCACCCTGCACAATCACTTCATTTGCCAGTCTCCACTGGCTGGCAGGAATCACTGTGGGAGCCCCGAGGTTCAGTGGGTTTGATGGTAACATCTGCCAGGTCATTAGCTGGTTGGAAAAGCTCTGGCTGGGGTTTTTAGCAATGAAAAGAGGGAAACCCATTTCACACCATCCCACCACCTCACATTCTCCACCAGGCACAGGGTGGCTGATGACTGTGCTGGCCCAGTCTGTACTGGGGATGAAGACCTGGGCAATGGCACTGCTGGGGACGTGGCTGCAGTTTCAGCCAAGATGAGAAGATGGTTTCATAGCTCTTCTGTGGTGTGTTCTGCGCCGGTCGGCATTCTCTAAGCAGAAATTTAATCATGCAAATATTTACAGAAATTGGATCAAAAAAATAAAGACTAGTGAAAGCTGCTGCAGTGAACTTCTAATTACAAATCCACAAAGTGTTTATGAATAAATTTATCTATTATTTGTCTAGCTCTAGCACTGCGTATACTTTGCCTTGTACCATTACAGGCTGAAAGAAACAATATGCGGCATGAAAATGAAAACAATTTGACTTAATTATTTACACCATTACCACCCTTTTGAATTAGGCCCTCTATTTCTTTGGTATTTTGTAAAACTTAACTGGTAATTATGCTTGTTTAATTCATTTTATTTATCTACTACTACAATAAGATCAAAACAAAACAAAACAAAATAAAAAAAACCCTACCAGAATGCAAAGTGCCAGCTACGTTCCTAAACTGTAAACGATGCTTTTAAGCTATTATAACAAAAATGTAGTATTTTCTACCATTTCATTTAAAGTGTTTCTGGATATGCTCCAACACTATTTAAGTATAAACAGGAAAAGCCTTGGAGGACAAGTAATCATACTTAAATGACACAAAGATCATTAAAATAATGTTCCAAAGACATGACAAAATTAGACATTGCAAGACAGTTTTCTTCTTTGAAGTGTTTCACCAGATGGTGAAGAGTGCTGAAATAGTAGATCTGAGAGAGAAGGAAAAACATTTCAACAGCTTTCTCATGCTAGCACCGCGTGGCGTGCACAGCTCTCAGCTGAGCTATGTCTGAAGTACATCTCATACCTTGGCCTAATCAAACATTGGGGCTGGAGATAATGTCGAGGTGTTGGAGTGAAGCTTGTGCTGAATCACAGTCTGGGAAACCCCTTCTTTGTTCTATTAATGCTGTCAAGCAGATTTATTCAGAGATGAGAACAAATAAGTATGTTAGCATAAGTCATTGTCGTAATTCGTGAAACTCTTAATGAGATATTTTCAGAGCTCATAAAGAGGAAGAACTATGTCATTAAATTGCTGCACAATAATTCCATTTTGATACAGAAAAGAGTTTTTTGTTTGTTTGTTTGTTTGTTTACATCAAAAATGACACCCTACCTCAGTGGTGATGCATCAGTGAGCTAGTAGTATTTAAGTACAAGGGTCTAACAGCTGTCTTAGATGTCAATGTTTGCTCTTGTAAATGAAAAGATGTTTGTATAGGTAAAATGACCATGAGATGACTTTGCACCTTTTTCACTATAAAGGTTCTCATCTGAAGAACTTCAAAGAACATTAAAGATCTACAAAGTTCTATAGGGTTTGTAAGTCTTCTTATGTCATTAGCTTTTAGCTTGCTTTATCAATAGAAAGTATCAATACAATTTCTAATTACTTAAAGAAAAAATAAACCGTTTATTTTTTTGTCTTAAATATTTTTATCCTTTTATCTTGGCTAGGGGTTTCTACTTTGAGGAAAGTTGGTGATCTAACTGAACACACACACCTCCATCCATCCATGACCTCCTGAACCTTTAATCTCTGATAATATATATTTTGGGAAATCCATAAATGTACAAGATGAAGTATCTGGAAGTCCTGGAATCATCAGTGGTTTCTTCTGGCCCATTACCAACCTGGCTCTTCCTAGCTCCTAATGAAAGTCCTGTCATGTCCTAGGAGATACCGTAACACTACCTGAGCTGCAAAGCTACAGTGGGCACAAGGCTTATCTTCTGGAGGAGAGGATTTCTCATCAGCTAAATATGACTGGCTGGGTTAAACAATTGGCAAAAGGGTCTAAATGTATTTCCAAGTTCCCCACCTTCCAGAAATGTTGGGTTTCTCAACCGTTTCCTAGCCAACACGTGTGGCAAATCCAAATCCACAGGAAAACTCATCTTTTTTAGATAAATGAGCCTGAAATGGAAGGTGACTTCATTCCCATTTGGCAGTCATTCTAGTTCCATGCTGTGCAAGGAAACAGCCTCTTATTCGCTACAGCACAAGTGTCTTTGCATTGAGTAATCATAAAGTCCTAATAACAGTCTGTCAGCACATTTCCATTATATAGAGCTAGCCTCAAAAAATAAAGTAAAATCCCACACTTTCAGTATATCCCCTTTCAACAAGTGCTCAGAAGAGGGGCTTGCAAACTGGAAATTGTGAATATAACTTTAGCAATCGAGTTTATTAGTTCACATACAGCTTATGTGCTTAAGTAAAAAGCTTGTGCATGGATAATTTTCAATAGCTTGTGTTAAATGAACTGAAGACTCTAAGCCTCTTCCTTGGGGACAGATGACCATTAGATATGCAAATACTGTAGGTGACATTAACTGTCATCCCTGTCGTCATTGTCAGGTAGTTGCACTGGCACAGGATGGAAAGTTACCTAAAATCTTAAAAATGGATGGTGCCTCCAAATGGCTGTGAACTTGCCCTGATCCTCAATGTTATTTCCAAGCCAAATAATCTGTGAGATCTGGGTCTCAGGGACAGTCTGTGCCTCAGTTTCCCATCTGTAAAAATAGGATATTTATAAAACTTTATTAGTTTTTACCCTAAAACGGATTGTTTTCTTTTTAGAAGGGCTCTTTGAGGAAGACCAGATCATTCTGAAATAATTTCCAAAGAAAACTAAATGATAGTTGGTAGCCTCTGTCTTCAGCCAGGCAAAGGCTTTGTTCTTTGAACTTAATTATATTGTCAGAACTGTGTCATGGAGGCCGTGATGAAGATACTTGCTTTGTTTTCAAGGAAGTCTCTCTGTGTTTGCATTCACTTTGCCAGAAGCTGCTGCTGTCAGCACTGCAGCGCCAATATGGAGTTCTTAAAATTTGGCAAAGCTCCCGTTGTACATTTATTTTATATTCTACCTAAGTTCTAGGCAAAATATCATTTCTTGCACTTAAATACTAATGGTTTTGAGGGAGAATAAAAGCCTAGATTGAACAGCAGACATATCAAAATCAAATCTTCTTTTAGTGTGTTATGCTGCTAAGAGAAGAGCTTTGTCTCCACCAGCCGGCAGAGGTTGCTCTGATGTTAACGCTTAATCATGGAACTTATTTTCAGTGATAAAGCACATGAAGGAAATCAAACCCAAATATTTAAATGATTAAATGATCTGTGAGCCAGAATTGTGAGAGATGTGTTATGTGTGAGTAGCCTGGAAAGCAGCAGTCTCTAGTCCAAGGCCTGAGGACAACCTGCTGCCCAGGGGGCTTCTGATGCCGAATCGCGTCTGCGGCAGCCAAACAGGCTCCAGGGGCAGCCAAGCGTTGCCAGCACATCCCTTGGCCAGCACAGCTCCCGTGTGATGGTGGAGACTGGGATTCCTCCTCCAGCATATAAATTCTGTCATGCTGGCCCTTAAAAATCCGGGGGGGTGTTCAATGAGGAGTCCTGTTGATTTTAATTGGATACTTGAATTAAAAATAAGAGAAATAGATTCGTTGCACTTATTTACCAAACAGGGTATTTTTTTTTCTTTCCCAGTTATTAATTTCCTTAAATGTAAAGTGACATCTCTAAAATGAAAACAGTTTATTGCTTGCCAGGAGCAAAGCCTGCCTAATTTAAGAAATCCAGAATTAAAGCTTTTGAAGCATATCAGGGAATGTTTATACAACAATTATCTTTGCAAACGTTAGCTCTGCTCACCACAGCCTCTTCAGGCCACCACCATTAAAGCCTGTAACCTCATTGCCAATCTTCCCCACCCCAAAATATGTCAGCAGTTGCATAAAATCAGGTCATCCTTTGATTTCAACTTGCCTATCTCCACCCAAGCATTCAAAACCATCCCAACCTATCTGGAATGTATTTAGTGATGAAAAACAAAACAAAACAAAACAAAACAAACAAAACAAACAAACAAACACTTAGTGTTTAAAATTAAGTAGTAGCATCATTATTAATAGCTGATAGCAGACAAAGGAGTGCAGTGACCTCTCCAACAGAGCATTTAAATCTTTGCACAACACGCTCTGCTTGTGCTAGGCTGGTTTCACAAACAACAGCTGTGTAGTTCGTTAACATATGAATCCCCTTGAGGTAATTTGGAGGAGCCAAATGTGCTAAACTAAACACCTCATTAAAACAGCACTTTAAAACACAACACACACAAAAAAAAAATCCCACCCAAACCCCAAACTAATTCTACATCCCACTTTTGCTTGTGAGACGCTTGGTGGAGAATATTCTATTATACTGAACTCATTCATCTGGGTTGTTGGAAATAGGGGGTTTTAAAATCAGTAATATGGGTTTTTCTTTGCTAAGATGCACTTGAGACTAAAGTGTCTTTGAAGAGTATCCTGGCACAAAGAAGCAATTAACCGAGGACAATAATGTTTTCTTTTCCTCCCAGTTGCTAAGCTGAAGGCGGGGAGCACAAGGCTGTGCTGGCAGTTGTGCCATGCAGGCCTCTCAGACCCCTGTGGGCCTGAGGCATGAAGAACCTCAGCCAAAGGCCTCTAGTGGCCCCCAGGGTCTCTGCAGAGGGCTTTGGATGGGGCCAAGGAAGAAGTGCACACAAGTGTCCCTGGGGCCACCACATCCCCCAGGAGAGCTATGCAGATATTTTCAGGAAACTCGCCTCTAACAAACGCTACCACCAGAGGAATCGGTTGGGAGTCCAGCCAAGTGTGCAGGAGATGTACAGTGTGAAGGCACTGACAGAAGTTTTTCCTCCCCTTGGTCTCACATGCTACAGGGTGCTCAAATGCCACCTTAGTCCCATCTTGGCACCAAGAGCAACTTTTTACTATCATTTTTTATCTTTACTCTTCCCCAGTGCTGCTGAAAAGCAATATAAACTGTGCAACATTGAGGTACATATGCATACTCCATAGTTTTTATTTTTTTTTAATGTTTTATTCTAGAAGCTTAGGTAAGGAACCTGATTTTAGGGAGGAGGAAAAAAAAATCCCACACCCACAAGCTTATTTTTGTCCATTTTAAAGCATAGCTTTGTAACCTGTTGGAATTTCCTCAAGGTTTTGTAAACATTCTTCTGAATTCCCCCCAGGTATTAGTATGTCATCCAAAAACCAGAAAATACTATTTATTCTCTGCAGGACTCAATCCGTTCTTCTTTGAAATCCTGCAGGTAACTGGCTCCCCCCCAGGGTAATCTTTCATACTTCAATAGGCACGTATGTATGTGTGAATTCAGTCAGAATTGGTATTATTATTATTATTTTTTAACATTCTTATTTCTGTGTTGCTGCCAGGCTTTGGACAAGTGCAGTTTGGAAAACTCTATTCCCTCTGCCAGTTTTATAAGAGAATCTAATGGCTTGGGGATTTTTTGTGGGTACACTGAGTGCAGCTCACACACGAACTTCCATACGTAAAATCATACCCACTCTTCCAGTCCCCACTATTGCTTTTCCATGGTTTATTTTCCCATGTTCAGTACAGTTATTAAATGTTCTGAGCACTTTTTCTTCAGCATAGCTTTTGGGTTGCTAAATTTGACTTTAACTCTTTCTTTTCCATTGGTGTTGCTTTCTAACCTAGCTACAAGTTTTGTCTAATTTTTAGACTTTAGCAGCTCACATCTGAGGGTACCAACAGCCTCCTCTATATGTCCTACAGTAAATGCAGGCTGTGCTCCTTCCCTTAGCAGGCTTGGTATACAGTTTCTAAAAGAAACTGTGTGATAAGCTTTGAGGTAGTCCAAGCTGTGTCATTAGCATCTTCACTTCTTCCCAGCCTCTGGGCATGGTGCAATCAAGCCCATTGATTTTTAAATGCTGGTACATTTTGTGGGTTTAAATTGAGCTCAACAGCTTCTCTAGTGGCAGTTCCTTCACCCACCCAACATCTTCTCTCTCAGTTTGGGGAATTACATGCAAACAACAAATTGATTTCTGAGAGTCTTTTTCATAGAATTACCATAACAACAAGCACAGTCATTTAAAGTGTGCCAAAAATTCAGAGTTTCCAGTGGGTTTCTGAGATGTGACTTAAATTGTTCTATTCACGAATTTGTGGTAGACACATAATGTTTTGCAGCAGCTTTATAGGGACTTAAGAATCCATCTCACCGCCTTGCAGAAAGACTGAGCATTGCAACTACAATATAAATAATTAAACTGTAAGTTTATTGATAAGCAAAAATTCCTTTACATATTTGTATTTTCTACAGCATTTGCATAATATACTATTCAAGAACAAGAGGGTTTCAAAATATTTCTCTGTTTTCATTTAACTGGAAAGTCTGTGATATACAGCTATTTTATCTAAGAATGCTTTTTAAAATCTTTCTTTCATTGCTATTTTTCTGATGAACAAGAATATAAAAAATAAAAATAAAAAATTCACAGAAAACAGAGAGAGAAGACAGTAGAAATCTTTGTGAAGAAGCAGCTCCAAAATCCACTTTATTTACTGGAAAGTTATCATCTTGAATCCTAAGAAAGCCCAGAGATTCAACTGAGCCCATCATACTTAGATCATAACTGAACTGAAAACAAGAGATTCAGATTATGTGCTTCCTGAGATAACCACAGAACTATGTGTGCACTCACATGTCACACCAAAGTTAACCATCGGCTGTAAGTAAAAGTCTTTTGAGCTCTCTAGGGAGAGCTCAAATTACTTTTGTATTGCCCAAAAGATACAGAGACATTTTTTTTTTTCCTCTTGTGTGTTTTGAAAGGATCTCATCTTTGTCCTAGCACCTAGACAGTTATTTACAGACACTCTCCCACTGATTTTAAAAACAAACAGGATAATTATTAGGAAATAACTATCAATTAATAAAAGTATTTTTAAAATAACTAACCTTTTACCTCACAGGGCCAAATTTGATTACAGGAATTCTTCCACCTTAAGAAGATTAAAAATATCTTTTTTTTTTTTTTGTATTTATTAGAACCAGTTGCATTGTTCATAAAGTCCTATTTTATATCTCTTTATATCTCTGAAAAAAAAAGGGCTAAAATATTTTTAATTAAATGAGAAACATGTAAATTCAGACCATAAGACAAGCAGGATATGTACACATAAAATTAAAAAATAAATAAAGAGAAGATTAAATACTTACAAATTGTTCAATGATGAATTAAATAAAGGTTCAAATACAAGCTTTCCTTGCCCTCCCTGCTCAAGATTTACACCACTAATCAGCCAATTTCCAAATCCTTAATATACTAAAGCATTTGCCTTTAAGGCAGCAATAATTTAAGACTGCTATCAAAATGAATGTTTTTCCATTAGGCAGAATAATTATGTCATATATTCTAACAGTGGCTTTGGACTTAAATCTTTTTGGTGAAGGAAACTGTCAGTCAGTTACAATTTGATCAGGAATCTTGATCAGAAAGCATTCCACATAGGGCAAGCAGATAAAACGTGACTTCTCTGTGTCTCACATTAATTCAAGACCATTCATGAAAATTAATATTGACATGACAGGTCACATTTGGTTCTACAGATCTGGTGCATTTTGAGGAAGATATTTGAATATTTATTTATGTTTGATAAACCCTGCATCAGTACCTGTGCAAATTTAGTCTTCAAATCTGTACATCAGAACTAACTCATACATTTTACTGTGAATTTTCAGGGGGCTATGGGACTATAATTGTGAACACAGTAAATCTTTACAGTCCATGATTACTTGGTTGTTGATTTTGAAGTCTTTGGCATACATGAGATGCTTTACTGTCCCTGATGCTTATAGAACAAACACTGAGCATTTCTGCTTAGGATGTGCTTCAACATTCACCCCAAGACAAGAACTTAGCACAAGTGGAAGGGAACAATTTATTGCCTGGCTGGTGTTATGGAGCATTTGAAAAGATAAGATTTGCCTCATTTAACCGAAACTTGCACTTAGCTAACATAAAGCCCCACCTCATGCAATTAGGTACAGCCATGCAGGGAGCCTGAATGTCAGATCACTCCCACAGTCTCCATCTTTGCATGGTATTATCTTGAAAAAATAATTTGACCTTCCTGTGATTTAATATCTATTTATCTTTTCTTTGTTTGTGTGGGACACCATCCCAGGCAAACCTAGGCTGTCTCTGCAGCCTCTCACTAAACCACTTTAAAATACTTAGGCATTAATATGCATATCCACATCTCTCTTGGAGAGTGAGCCTTGACCCTTTGAGACTGGACA